AACCATTGCTGTAGCCTCTCTTGTTTATTTTCTCGTTCTTCTTGTTTCTTTTCTTTTTCCTCCAACAGCTGTTGTAATCTCTCTTCTTGTTTCTTTTCTCGTTCTTCTTGTTTCTTTTCTTTTCCTCCAACAGCTGTTGTAATCTCTCTTCTTGTTTCTTTTCTCGTTCTTCTTTTTCCTCCAGCAACTGCTGTAATCTCTCTTGTTTATTTTGCTGTTCGAGCTGCCACTGTTGCAGGTTTTCTTGCTACTGCTGTAATCTCTCTTCTTGTTTATTTTCTTTTTCCTCCAACCACTGCTGTAATCTCTCTTCTTGTTTCTTTTCTCGTTCTTGTATTGCTGCCATCAAATCTGCTAAGCTGTAGTTTGATTTGCCGCTTCTCGTTTCCATCTTCTTGTTAATTTCCCGTAATAATTATTCCCGAGGAACTTCAGCGATACAAGTCCTTTCTTTAATAAAACTAGTTTATTCTTTCTCAATACAACTTTTCAATACACGTAATTTACACAGTCACTTTCACTTTAACACACGCTATAATTCACAACGGTTCACGAACTTTACTTACGGTCACTACCGCTCACTTGATTCAATTATCTGTCTCTATTTCTCTATCTGCAATCCTCTATCGTCACTTCTTGCCGGTCTTATATATACAAAATAGAGGGCGTCTGGCAAACACTCGAGCTTTCACGAACTTCTAGATACTCATTATGTGTTACTAGCGTCACGTGAATTCCGCTGTCGTAACAATATAATAAGCTATCAATGTTATTTATGTAGATAAATTCTCAGCTTTGTGAATGACATTTGATAAGATATAATTCATTGCATAAGTTTAAAAGTATACAAATTAAAACAGATTTCACAATGAATATTTGATATCTTAAGATAGGATGATTTTCTTTCATTTGTTACTTGTTCTCAGCGTAAAAAATACTTTATAATCATATGAAAAACGTGTATGTTTTTAACTTACACAAACAGAGTAGTTTTATGTTAAAGCTATTGTTCTTCATGGAATATTGGATAGGATGTGGCTAAGCGGTTAGCATGTAGACCTCACAGTAGAGTGCTAAACAAAAGGTCCATAGGAGTGACAGTCAATCCCTGTGTTTAGTCCAAAGCGAGTCAAAGTACTTGTAGTAGCAGGTCCTACAGATTAGCCGTCTTTTTCTAGTCAGGAGTTAAGTATTAGAGATGGATATACCTGAATCCTTGGGGTCGAGATCCTGGCTGTTTAGACCATTTGCACATAAGGGGCCATTAGGGTTAGGCATACTAAGACTGTAGAATGCTAAAAAGAATTATTAAGGCCAATAAAAATAACTACTAATTTTGAGAATGACTGAAATTTTATCTTCAACACAAAAATAAGACTAACTGTAACTTTTCAATCTTACTTTCTGATTTATACAAACATACTATTTTCTTTATTTATCACGATCACAAGATTTTCCAAATGACGTCTTTTTTCATTTCAGGTTTTAACCATATTTTTCACACTGAAATGACCCTACATAACACAGAAACTTGGACATATACATTTCAAGAAAGAATTTCAGGAAACTCTCAAGGAATTTAAATATAATTTAATATCCTAATGCTTTTTATTATTTACTATACAATACCAATGTGATGTTTAATGGTTTCCAACCTTCTTAATAGCGCTTTTTAAATTTATATATACACGCTGAAGTAGAACAAATCCTCGTCATACTTTTAGCTTATAAAAGGAACTGCACAGATGACTTTAAAATGGATGACTTCACCGATAAATTTGAAAACCATAAAGTTAAACAACAATGGCTTCAAAATTATGAGTTCTGATACAAATATCTAAGTATGTAGGAATGTAATTCAACTACTGAACTAATAGAGAGAATAAGAAAAGAAAGAGACATGACAACTACAATATAACATTTGTGTTGTGGTATTCTCCGTTTCGTGGCTTTTCCGCAATGTAGGCAGTTAAGGCTAGCTAAGTGGAGGTTTGAAGGAGACTTGTTTTTGTTTGTTTGTAATTAAGCAGAAAGCTACACAATGGGCTATCTGTGCTTGGCTTACCACGGATATCGAAACCAAATTTCTAGCTTTGTAAGTCCACTGGGGGGCGAAGGAGACTGCCCTACAAAGTGTATGACTATATGTCTTCCTTATTTCTAACCGACTTTGTTGAGAAGAAGGAGTCGAAAAACGAAGGTGCGCAATAATAATATTTATAAATACAAAAAGAATCACATTCATAGTATAAAACGTTAGTGACAAGTGTATTTGTGGTAGCTTTGTTGGACAGGCGAGAGAGAGAGAGAAAGGAAGTGAAACCTTATAGTGAGTTCTCCTGTAAGCTAAACTACAACTATATAATATTTTATTTAATTCCAAATTTACGTTAAAATTAAACAACGTCTCGCACCACCAGTTAAAATAAAATGCTCTACTAAAATTAAATCAAAGTTAAAGTTGTAATAAAAGTAAAATCTCACAAAATCTCTTAAGAAAAGTTAAGTGAAAAGTTTTGCTAAAATCTCAGTTCAGTTACACTATAAATTCAACCTCAAAAGTAAAGTTAAAGTTACAGTTCAAGTTTCAGTTTCAAGAACCTGCAAATCTGAAGTCTAAAAGGGGGAACTTTTTGGCTTTTTAATATTAGTAAATAAAAAACAACCTAAGACAGGTTTGTATATTTGTTTATTTCAATGCGAGGGAAATCCTATGCTATTAGACAATTTGCCGACAAAAAAGGCAGCTTTCTATTTATGGACATTGTGGCCTATCTTTTCTTCAAGAAACTCGGTTAATTCCCGATTAACGAACGAAGTCCTTGACACAACTAGAAAGAAGCAAAGTTTAAATGTATTTACTGAAACTACTATTCGCGTCTAAACTGAAGTGAAAGAAAATACAGCCTCCCCCACAGTGGTACAGCGATATGTCTGCAAATTTACAACGCTAGAAACCAGGTTTCGATACCCGTGGTGGGCAGAGCACAGATATCCCATTGTGAAGCTTTGTGCTTAATTCCAAACAAACAAACAGAAAATACACTAATTTGAAAACTTTACATATTGTTACTTTTCAGCTTGTTTGTTAATTTCTTGTATAAATTATTTCCAAGGAACTTCAGCGATACAAGTTCCTTCTTGATTAAACCAATTTATTATTTCTCGATACAAACTTTTAGTACACAGTAATTCCACAGTCAGTACATTTCTGGTCACTTTAAACTTAACAACTTTTATAATACTAGCTATAAATCACAGATTCACAATCTCGATAATTTTGCTCTCTACGAGTACAAAAACACACACTAGCTCGAAACAGAATCGTAAATTACCCGAAACTCACCGTAA